CACGTCCTCCAGCATTGCCTGCTCTCTCCATCCCCATACCTCTGCTCCATACATCATCACACTGCTAACCAGACCTTCAAACATAATCTTCCTCGCTGCCACATTCCTTCCAAAGACTCTCTTCCCCCAACCCCATACTTGTCCCATCACCTTATTCGCCTTTTTTGCCATAGCTATCACATGCGACCCCTCCCTGTTATCCTCCCTAAACACATACCCCAAGTAAGTATACTCCCTAACCTCCTCGATCTCCTTTCCCTCCCATCTCCAGTTTTCTGTTCTTTTTCTCCCACCCTTACAAAACTTCATCATCCTTGTCTTCCCCACATTCACTTCCAGCCCCTTCCCCCTAAAATATCTTTCCAATGTCTTTATCATCTCCTTCATCTCCACCGCTTCTCTCGCCATGACCACGATGTCATCCGCGTATGCTAACATATGCACCTTTCTACCTCCCACCACCAATCCTCCCATCTGCCCCTTCCCCAATCTTTCCTCCAGGTCCGCCGTATACAGTGCAAACAGACTTGGGCTCAGCGGACATCCCTGCCTCAGTCCCTTCGTCGTCCAGAACACGTCGCTCAGCTTATCTCCCACTTTTATCCTAGCCATCGTCTCCATGTATATTTCCTTCACTCTCGCAATTAGGTGTTCCGTTATCCCCCTCCTCCCCATCTCCTCCCACAACTTCCCCCTATCCACCTTATCAAAAGCCGCCTTCAAATCTATAAACAGGGCGTACAATTTCCCTCCCTTCTTATCCAGCTCTCTATCTGCCAGATGCTTCAACACGTACACGTTGTCGATTGCTCCCCTTCCCTTCCGAAAGCCTGCCTGCCCATCCGGCAAAATTCCCCCCAACTCCATCTCCTCCTCCAGTCTTCCCAGCAGTATCTTCGTGTATACCTTGTATGCCGAGTCTAGTAGGTTAATTCCTCTGTAGCTTTCTACCCTTCCCTTATTACCCTTTTTATATACTGGGCAAATTACCCCCACTTTCCATCCCTCCGGAATCCCCTCCCCCTCTCCATACGCTATTCTTGGGGATAAAGTACATTTTTGCATATATTTCGAAAACGAAAAGTGCTATCAAAATTTGGTAAATTGAATCTTTTATTTATTTTTAATAAACTGTCATTTGATGACAAAAAGCTCATACTTTTTGTAACAATAACGTTTAATAGATTAAATAATACAGGGTGTCACACAAAAAACGCCCCAACCTGTAACTCTGTTATTTACATTCCGATTTTCATGACCCAGGTATCAAATGAAATGGTTTTATAAATACTATGATTCATGCTACAAATAAATTTTTTACAACGCCATTTTCAATTTCAAATAATTACTAACTTTTGTTTTTCAAATTGCTGCGTATATTTTTCTTCGCTTCATTGGGTACAGTTTGTTTTTCTGAATTCATTGATGTACTGTGCATCCATTTTAAATGCAATATTAACAGAGAAAAGACACCTGTATATACAGGTTGTCACACCAGAATGCCGCAAGGTGTAACTCTGTCATTTACATTCCAATTTTCATGAGCCAGGTATCAAATGAAAAGGTTTGATGAATACTATGATTCATGCTACAAATAAACTTTTTCCAACGCCATCTTCAATTTCAAGCGATTATCAACTTTTGATTTTCAAATTACTCGGTATGTTTTTCTTCGCGTTATTGGATACGGATTTTTTTTTATGAACCCATTGCTGTACAATATATCAACATTAATTGTAATTGTACCATAGAAAAACATTAAAATAGTTTCCTAACATTCTCTTAAAGTTATTTCCGTTATACTTTAGTGTGCCATGGGAAAAAAAAACACCTTATAAATATCATTTACAACTGCTTCGGACATTGAAATAACATTTAATGACTGTTAGTTGTGCGCGTTATTTCTTCCATAGCACACTACAGTATTACAGAAGTGACTAAGACAATGTTCGGAAAATGTTTTAGTTGTTTTTCTCTGCTGTATTTACATCATTGGGTTCAGAAAAAAAATCTCTATACAATAACGTGTAGAAAAATATACCGAGCAATTTGAAAATCAAAAGTTGATAATCGCTTGAAATTGAAGATAGCGTTGGAAAAAGTTTATTTGTAGCATGAATCATAGTATTCATCAAACCATTTCATTTGTTACCTCGCTCATGAAAATCGGAATGAACATGACAGAGTTACAGCTTGGGGCGTTTTTTGTGTGACACCCTGTATAATAAATTGGGATTTTTTAACACTCAAAAATTATGATCAACGTTTTTATTTCGCTAGATAGGGTACGATAGCAGGAATGTCCCATTTACTCTATATTCCTTTCTTTACATCCTCCTGTGTCCCTCCACCTTTCTCAACAATGCNTTCCCTCCCATCTCCAGTTTTCTGTTCTTTTTCTCCCCCCCTTACAAAACTTGATCATCCTTGTCTTCCCCACATTTACTTCCAGCCCCTTCCCCCTAAAATATCTTTCCAATGTCTTTATCATATCTTTCATCTCCGCCGCTTCTCTCGCCATGACCACCATGTCATCCGCGTATGCTAACATATGCACCTTTCTACCTCCCACCACCAACCCTCCCACTTGCCCCTTCCCCAATCTATCCTCCAGGTCCGCCGTATACAGTGCAAACAGACTTGGGCTCAGCGGACATCCCTGCCTCAGTCCCTTCGTCGTTCAAAACACGTCGCTCAGCTTATCTCCCACTTTTATCCTAGCCATAGTCTCCATGTATATTTCCTTCACTCTCGCAATTAGGTGTTCCGTGATCCCTCTCCTCCCCATCTCCTCCCACGACTTTCCCCTATCCACCTTATCACAAGCCGCCTTCAAATCTATAAACAGGGCGTACAATTTCCCTCCCTTCTTATCCAGCTCTCTATCTGCCAGATGCTTCAACACGTACACGTTGTCGATTGCTCCCCTTCCCTTCCGAAAGCCTGCCTGCCCATCCGGCAAAATTTCCCCCAACTCCATCTCCTCCTCCAGTCTTCCCAGCAGTATCTTCGTGTATACCTTGTATGCCGAATCTAGTAGGTTAATTCCTCTGTAGTTTTCTACCCTTCCCTTATTACCCTTTTTATATACTGGGCAAATTACCCCCACTTTCCATCCCTCCGGAATCCCCCCCCTCTCCATACGCTATTCTTGGGGATAAAGTACATTTTTGCATATATTTCGAAAACGAAAAGTGCTATCAAAATTTGGTAAATTGAAACTTTTATTTATTTTTAATAAGCTGTCATTTGATGACAAAAAGCTCATCTTTTTGTAACAATAACGTTTAATAGATTAAATAATATAATAAATTGGGATTTTTTAACACTCAAAAATTATGATCAACGTTTTTATTTCGCTAGATAGGGTACGATAGCAGGAATGTCCCATTTACTCTATATTCCTTTCTTTACATCCTCCTGTGTCCCTCCACCTTTCTCAACAATGCTATCAAAGTACACGAATGTTTTTACTAGTTCCAAGTCTCTTCCATTCACTGTTAACTTAGCTTGGATTTTTTCCATCGTTTTTTGAATATTGACTTTTAGTTCTGTTGCTTGGTTTTAAAGTTTTCTCAGCTTTACAATGTCACAAAATCTCTATGAAAGTAGGTCTATCTTGCAACCCCCAAGAATCCATCCAGAATTTGCCTGGATAAGATTGGTAAATTTTCCATTATGCATTACTTGACACTTATAATCTTCATACATCTTCCTGATAACAATGATTCTTACAGAATATGCCTCAAAGTCGATGAAAGTCAAGTAGAGTGTACTCTGCATTGATAAGATCAACGCAACTTCTTTGTTTATGGAATCCTGCTTGCTGCCTCCTCGAGATTACTTTACTTGGCACTGACAGAAGAGTGATGCCTCGCCAGTTGTTACAATTACTGATATTCCCTTTCTTTGGTAGTTTCACTATTATTCCATATTTCCAGTCCCTAGGCAACTTTTCTTCTGTCTATATCTTCTTAAGTGATGGGTGTAATAATCCAACAGTAGTTTAAATATCTTGTTTTAGTACTTCAGGTGCAATGTTGTGTACGCCTGGTGCCTTTCCATTACTGATCTGCTTGAGGGCTGTTTTAATTTTATTAAGAGTTGGTGGCTTTATGTTCATACCAGTATTCTAATAGCTTTTATTGTCAACTAAACGAAGAACAATCTGTATCTTCGTTATTATTAACAATTGGATTAACATAAATTGGGTTAAATCGTAATAATTTAATGTAAGGAATTCACTGTTGCTCTGTATCCCATTAGTAACGGACCTACCTGTATAAAAATAAGATATCCTTTTAACTGATCTTTTCTATCATTTCATTTACCGTCCTGTAACAACCCTTTTTCTGCGCCATCTCCAGTGGGGCCCGAGTACAAAAACGTCAGCCCCTGTTGCGTTTAAATTTCTCCAAAGCCCGGCCATCTGACTTCGCTAAATCATCTCTTTCATCACTTGTTTCAATCGACTGGTATCCATCTTGGTTCTAACATTTCAAAAACCTCTCTTTGTCGTCTTCATGCCAAAAATTGTCAACAAAGGATCCGTCCGGCTTTCATTTACTGTTGTTCCTTTAATCATTTGATTTCAAGTGGGCGAGTGAGGGTCCACAGTTCCCTAGCCTGGGGATAGGTTTGCCTCCTTAACTCTTTTGGATCAAATCCTTATTGATTCAAATGGGTTAAAGCGTCCAGATATACTTCCTCTTTGCGTCAGAAGGCTAGATGTTATTGTCTTCGATCACTCCAGTTACAGGACAGGGAGGCCCATGCGTCTTTATTCCGTCTTGAGACCAGCAATTAATTACGTTAATTGACTTTATAAAGCTCGATTAGCGTCCCGTTGTCTTTTGATTAAAGTTTTAAGGTTTTTCTTAATCGAGTATTGATCAACGATTAATACACACAATGTTATCAAACCTTAATTGGCAATGATGTTAAATTTATTTATTATACTTTTTAATATTTATATTTAATAAATTTTTGAAAATTTACAGCTCCTAGCGTAATGGATGTCCAAGCAGCAATCGAACACATTTTTCCGCTAGTTTATGAATTTCGCAAAGAGAGGTCGCCAGAAGATATTCAACAAGCGGCTAAGAAACGTAGAACATCAAACGGACCGGAAGCATTCTTTATAGAAACGTGTAGTCCAGAAAACGAGGAAGAAGAGGACGTGGCCAGTGACGTTTCATGGGATTAAAACTGTTTCGAAAAAGAAAAACATTTCGTTTTATTACTCTTTGATGGTTTAGAAAAAGTTTCTTGAAAGTTGAAGAGTTCGATTGGACACTGCCATTTCAAAATGTTTTTTCCCTGTTTTCTTGTAAAAATCGTCGATTTCCGTTTATTAATTAAATCGATTTTGTATTGCAACATTTTGAAATCGAGTTTAGAGAGACTGAAAAGAAACGATGATGATGATGTGAAGAAAAAGTTCGTTTTTTCGTTTCGTTTTTAGTGAAAATGAAAAAACCTATTTAAGTGTTTTTTTTTTCTTTAAGTGTTCATCAGCAATTAGATTTATAAATAAATAGATTTTTGCGACTTGAATGAAATGAATCGATTTAAAGCTTTTCCAAAGAACTTTATTCGTTTTTTTTATAATTTTTTTCTTTTCTCTAATTAAAGTATTATTAAAGTTTTCTGTAATCGTTTTTTTTTTTGTTGCATTCATTTTTGTAAATAGCTTCATGTTAAAACTATTTTTGTTTGTTTTTCGCGATGATTAATTAAAAGAAAAATAATTCCATTATTTTGTTCTTTTATTATTATATATATGGTTTTTGAAAAATAAGCAATATCCGAAAATCAATTTAAAAAGAAAAGTTTAAATTAATAATAAAAACTGCCGGAGAATTGATTGTCATTTAAATACTCTAACTATACTAAGTAGTTAATTAATGAAAAAAAACAGGAAAATAAAAGGCTGATTTCTTTTTTAAAATATGCACCTCACTAATTTACTTCAATAAATAAATTAATTATTGATTATGTTTTTTTTTTGTAAATAATTCATCTATTTATTCCTCTACTTGTCGAGTTTGTAGAATGTAATAATAAATAATTAATAATAATTAGAGGCTAATGAAACGACGAGGACAATTTACATCTTTAATTTGCAATTTTTTTAAATAAATGTTTTTGATTAAACTGATTTCTTTCATTTTGTTTCTTTATTGTCTTTTATGTTAAAATTAATCGTTTTTGAAAATCGACTAAAATGAATATAAAATTCATAACAAGCTGTATTTATATTGTAATTATGACGTGTAGAATAAAAATTTCTCATTTTACAAAAAATTGTTATATTTGTTTTATTGATAATAAATAATCCTTTATTTTCTTAGTAGTTTTCAATTATATGGTGCGTCATATTGTTATACGCTTTTAGATATATTAGATAATTAATAAGTAATCAAACTTTTAAAATTAAGGTGGAAGTAATAGCTCAAATATATTGCNAATTTTGCAGGAATCCTTTTTTGGGGAAATACTATCATTGGACAGCATTGTAGTAAATGCTATTACCATCTATATATACCAACCTTTAAGGAATAATAAGGCACATAAGCAAAAGTAGAAATGTTAAATGTAGGTGTTCGAATGTGTCCGATAACTATTTCGAGTTACAGTTTTATAATTATAGCTATTGGACACAGTCTAAAATGATGAAAATCCACACTGATTATAAGTATGATGTTATTGGACATTGGAACACTTTACCCTTTTAGATTAGAAACGCTAAACTAACTACGTTACACCATTCTATAAAGTATAAACTAACTTTGGGAGTTGGATAATAATCAGAGCCCGGACAGTTTAGGAAAATAATACTAAAATGCCTCCCACTCCATTTTCAATTTTCAACGTCGTAAATCGAAGTGTGTCGAATATGTCGAACCGTATGCCACGAAATTTTGACATTGTGTCTTGTTGCACTTGCTGTCTTGCTTGTTCATCGTACATATCGAGTTATTCTTTAAGCCTATATCTTCGTTCTATTTGTGTATTTAATTTTATTCGATATTCCTTTTTTATTTGAATTTAGTTTCGTTCATAGACATTTTTAGTTTCACTTTATTTCTTTATCTTCGTTTTATTGCGATAAGAACATTTAACTTTAATATTAATATTTACAATGTGTTCGCGATTCCAAAAATTGGAGGAATGGATACGCGGTTGCGATGGACTGTCTGTTTTAGAAGAGAATATAATATTTTGTAATATTTGTTCCGTTTCCATCGTATGTAGAAAACAGGATCATGTGTTTCAACACATAAAAACCAACAAGCATGCGAAAAATAGCGATCCATTAAAAGCAATGTTTGCGGAGGAGTTATGTGAGGCATTTTTGGCGTCAAACATACCCTTAGAAAAATTGAAAAATCCTGTTTTGAAAAGTTTCTTAGAAAAGTACACACACCAAAAAGTACCTGATGAATCGACCTTACGGAAATATAATATACCAAAATTATATAGTAAAGCGATGGAACCTATAATAAATACATTATCAAATAATTACATATGGATAAGTGCTGATGAAACCACTGATATTCTTGGTAGATGCGTGGTTAATGTAGTAGCAGGCGTTATGCATCCTACACAGATATCCCAACCTTACTTAATAGCGACTAAAATCTATCAAAAAGTTAACGCAGACATAATCGTAAAAGTTGTTTGCGAAAGCATAAAACCTATTGTAAAAGAAAATCCTGGTAAAGTCCTGTTATTTATTTCTGATGCAGCAGCATATATGCTGAAAGCTGGCAAATTATTAAAGACAATATATCAAAATTTGCTGCATGTAACTTGCATTGTTCATGGTCACCATCGATTATGTGAGTTTATCAGAGACCATTTTCCAGATGTCGACAAATTTATTAGTTTATGCAAAAAGATATTTTTAAAAGCTGCCCAACGTGTGTCAATATATAGAGAACTATGTGAAAATTTACCACTTCCTCCTTCACCAATTATCACGCGATAGGGAACATGGATTGAAGCGTGTGTATTTTACGCAAACAATTTTGATAGCATTAAAAATTGCATATTACATCTGAGGAATGATGCAGCAAGCATTGTACAATGCAAAGAAATTATTCAAATATCAAATTTACATGAACAGCTTAAATATATAAACTACAATTTTTCAAAATTAACCGTGAAAATAAAATACTTTCAAAAACAAGGTCTTCATATTAAAGAGACAGTTAATAGTTTGTTTTCTTTGTTGGAGGAATTTAAACAAATTCCTGGAGAATTCGGAATTTTATTTAACGATAAAATTCGAGATGTATATAACAGAAATCCAGATTTAAACATCATTCAGCAACTATCATATAAAAATATAAAGGCTGAAGTTAAAGATAAATATGAATGTTTACTGCCATATTTTAACTATGCTCTGCTGACTAGTTGCGATGTAGAACGATCGTTTTCTATATTTAATACTATTTTTACATCTCGAAGAACATCTTTTAGAGACACACATTTGGAGATGATGGTATTACTTTGTGTAAACAGCAATTATAAATTTAATAAAATCGAAAATGATTAATTCAGTGCGTATTTTTATATTATTTTTATTAATTCATTAATTAATGTTGCACAGCAAGTTCTTCGCTAAGGTACGCTCATCGCTCTTCGAAATTCAATTTTGATCAAAAGGTGTCAAAAGCGACAACAACGTACTTACGTCGTTGTCATGGAATTCGTTTCGTGTGGAGGGGCGCACTTTTCCTAAACTGTCCGGGCTCTGCTTATAAATTAACCCGTATAAGCTTTGTCAATTTCAACACTCTTATAAAGGAGTTACCTCTTTCTTGCACAGATTTCTTTATGCTCTATTTTATATTTAGTTCGTAAATTTAAAAATTTAGTTATAGATGTCTCCATGAACTTGCGTTTTATTTTTTGTCCCTGAGATACATGTTCTTTAATTTAACAAAAAAAAAAATGTATTTTTGTTCGTTGTTATCCAATTAAATAATTGTTATATGTTTTCTCGTTGGCTGATCAATGGTTAATGCCATTTCAAAACTCACAATCATTTCTAGAAACTCATCACAGTATACATCTGTCAGGTCCAGCAAATCGATATTGAAATCACCACAAAGTACACAAAGATCAAAGCATGGATAAATTACGTTTTTTGACGTTTCTTGTACCAGAAAGAAAATTGTTTTCCAACTTTATAGTAATGACGTCGTAAATTTAAGAACTTCCATGAATCATAAACACTAACATGTGTTAGCAATCTTCAGACGATCTTTTACACCATCCTGACATAATCACTTCGACGGTGTATAGAAGTTCCGATTGGTTGTTTTGTTAAGAGTCGACTTCCTTTAGTTTGTCTTAGGAAATGACCAGAAATTACCCGTGCCAAAAGGAACTAATGTAACGAACGCCCCAAGTCATTTGTGGCACCGCGCTTACTTGTAGGTAACAGAGTTTATAACCGTTCGGTTGGTAATGGCTTAGATTTATTTCAAGCTGCGGGCTCGCAATCTTCAACTTCGTAGATTTATTTGATAGGCGATTGCAAAGTGTGTAATTTTCTGCAGTCAATAAGAACGAGGTGCTTGGAATTTGACTTCACACAATCCTAAACCGCAGTAATTGAATGTTGTAAAACGTGTTTTTGAAATATCGTCTTTAATTTTGGTACGCCACAAAATTTTCTTTTGAAAAGAAATTATGTGTGGATGTGGCGTTGAAAAGTTTATAAATAACTTTGAAAAAGTGATGGGAGTATAATGTAACTAACTCATAATAGAGCTTAATTGTCAGGTTAAAAGCACAATGGGTATTGTGTCACCGGGGTACTAAAGCAAACAAACGAAAAGCTCGTTAGCTCGTCCGATTTTAGTGCAGTACGCGGAATCTAATTGTAAGATCGCGGCTCGTTGTTATACTCTGAGCCCAGAGAACCGTCCAAAGTTAATATAAGTACAAAGCAACGGCGGCCGGCGGAAGGAAAGCACCCGACCTCGGAATCGTTTTATCGTCGCGTCCGAACCATTAAGGCCCCACTTTACATTGTAAACATCGAACCCAACGAGCCTGAGCATAAACGAAGGTCACTGACAGAGTCGTGACTGAAAATTTAACTTCATTAATTTTCTTCTCGACCTAGCTAATGTTAAACCACTCTCTCCTTTTCTTCGTACATTTTTAAGATTTTAACTTGACTCTTACGAAAATTATAATAATCATAAAAAAATAAGAAGAGCAAAAACCTACATGGTCTCGATCCTATCGCAACAAGTACCTAAATCAACAATTAGGGGCAATTTTGGTGCTTGCGGCGTCCTCGGACTTGGTGATTTCCGATAATAAGGACCCGGCATCGTTAAGAAGTAAGTGAATAACAGGCTGCCTTTTCAAGATTTTCGACCAGCTACTCATTATTACGTGCAATAACACTTAGGGCAGTGAGACGAGGGTCGCCAACGATCTGTTATTAATTTTGGCACTCCAAGTTCCACTCTGCACATAATGACGAGGTATCGACGAAATTTTCTGATTGAATACACTTTAGGGACATCATTGAGAATTCAAAATGTGTGCCAACAAATCGAAATTAAAAAAAAAAAAGGAAATATATGACTTTGCGCGGATATTGTAACCGTAAAATTCGATTCAACCACGTTAGCTGCGGGCTTATAAACATCACGTGCCCAGAGCTTACACACTATAACTGTAAAGGACATAAATTATGATTCCATAATGGTGATGGTACTCACCTGTCTCTGTTACAAGTTAATAAATACACTTATAACTAACAAAATTGTTGAAATTGATGAAAATTAACTTTCTATTCTTGACAGTTATTACCTATTATTATTACTTAAAAGGTACTTAAAAGTACCATTTTATAGTAATAGAAGGACTTGTAATTACCTTTAGGTATAAGCAAAAATTAAATTAAATAAAAAATCGATTTCGGGTTATTACCTTTATATTCACAAGAAGTCCTTTTGAAATTTTATTTCTTTCAACCTAATAATTTAAGTATTGTCCCGAATGCTTTCATTATAAAGCAGGTAAAATTTACACCATATGGTCAACAAAAAATCTACTATTACAATTCTTTCCTCCTTTAATTTAAAACACGTGGTCTCTGCGGGGTTACTTGTTACGTTCATCGTAAATTAAACTCACGATTAACATAAATGCGAAATGTGTTGCTCTTGGAATTGGAAGACGAAGCTAGTTCTCGGTTGGGGTCAACAGTTTATTGGTTTTATGTCTTTGGTGATCACAGCGTAACTTTAAAGTTTTTAATGTAACAGATGAGGAGGAAACGTCATTAAAGAGCAACTCAAGGATAAAAGTGAGAGATTAAACGATCGTCGTTGTGTTTTCAGAATCATTAGATAATGTGCGATACTCAACTTACCGTTGATGTCATCGACGCATATCTGGATGTCTTCTCTGAAAGTTGGTAGATGTCGATGACACTGGCAGGTGCAGAACGGCTCTTTCGAGTCTTCGACGGCAGCTGCTGTACCGCTGCTTAACCCTATGCAAACGTCCGGGTTACAGAATTTATCTGTAATAAAAGTTTTTTTGTACTATAAAATTAATGGAGTTAGAATTGTTGTGCTCAAGATTCATTATTTTGAAATAAATCAATTCACACCTAAACTAATCATAGAGGAAGTTTAGATTAAACTAAAAGCTTCAATTAAGTTCTTGCTTTTTTATTCAATCACTACCTATTAACTTGAGTAGTAAGCGAGTGCCGCTTTCGTTGCTTTCGTCTTTTCGTTTTTGGTTTAGCAGGATATCGCCGTTTCGAGTTCTTGCTCTGTGCAGAATGCATTTGCGGTCACTAACAGTGTCGGATTACGCAGTCGGCCGTAAATCATTCATAACTATTCGTTTGGATAGCGCGGCAAACAGGGTCTCTAATCGTACCGTATTCAATTAAAGACGTATTCTTCGGCGCGAGTCAAAGAAATGCACGGGCACGATTGTAATTATCGCGGCACTTAGGTGCGATCGTGACCACTTCTTCTTGACCGAGCTCTTACTATAGCAATTATGGTAATCAAAATATCAAAACGTTCTACTGACATGCAACGCGTTGTCTTCGATATTTCAAGTAGTTAAACTGTCTTTGTGTGAAAATTACATAAATTATTCTTGTAATTGAGTGGATTGTTTAAACAGTATAATCACATAAAAAAGTTTGAAGCTTTTTGTATGCACGATAAGGAGCATGGACAACGATCAAGCAATATTAGGACAAAGAGATGAAAAAATGAAAATGTAGTTAGATCATATCCTGGGGTAACAAAAATCAAAAAGTACTGCAAAGTTTTAGTGTTCTGTAAGAGAGGAATGTGGAATTGGAGATCACGTGAAATTCGCTGGGGGAAGAAGAAGAAAATATTGAATGAATACATCCAAAGAGCAGATAAGACCAGATTGATCAAGATATCGAGAGACATCTCCAATTTGTCAATTCCTAAGAGATGAGGTGCTTTGGTCTACGATGTATATCAAAGATATCCCGCTCGTTTTCAAAACTCTACATGTACTGGATAGAGTCGACAATTCTGGCATTCAACAATTGCAAACACGTTCTGACCGACACAATACGTTAACATATCCAGTGACTAATTTTTCACTTGCAGCTTTATGCGATACTTCTGACTCCAATTTAGCTACAATTTAGCTGCCACCTTAATTGACACTTGCTGAGATTTTTGATTCAAGCTGTACTGAGGGAAGTTGCACTCCAGGCACTTCTTAGTGACGAATAGCAATGAAATCCACTAGACAGCACTGCTGCCTTATCTTTTACTTGCAGCTTCTTGTGACAGTTTGGACTTCGTAATCTATACCGTTTTGAAACAAAAAAATGTTGGAATTTACCTGCCATTTGGGTTCTTTTTGTCTACAGGAACGGGATACAGAATTATTTCCAGTATTGTAATGAGTACTTCAGCACCCACTGGTGATTTTAATTTTCTAAATAAAAGGTTCCTACAAATCCACATTGACAAGCATACAAACACTACCGATATACATCGATCAACATTCCCGTTGAGTCCAAGTAATTAGAACATCCATAATTGTATGATTAAAGTAATAATTAGCGGTTAGACTTCGAGATAAGTAGTAATTCTAAAGTGTGTGTAAGAAATAGTTCTTGTTAAATTTAGAGCATGATCAGTGCAAATCCAGACCATTTCGTGCGGTTTAGAGGTTATTGGATATATATATTGGATATATTTCAGTTGTTTTTGCAAATCTGGAGTTTCGTCGGTATAATTTCAGGGATTCTTGTAATTAGAGTTTGTTCAATATTCTTGCGATCCAGATTCTGGTAAGGGTATTCTCGACATTTTCTTACACTCTGATATCTGGATATCATAATTCCTAACTCAACTTAATAATCTGCGCTTTAACCAGTATAATTCCAGACTTTTTCTTCAAACCTGAAGCTTATTGAGTGTAATTTTAAACTTCTCTTACAGTTTAGAAGCTGTTGCAAGTGTTATTAAAAATTTTTTTTTAAAACTTATATACAGGGTGATTCACATAAAAATCGACACACAACAGGGACACGTAGAGGACAATAAATTAAGATTATTTAATGTAACTTACCTCTATACTAAGTTGTACACCTCAGGAGTTATAGGCCTTCAAAGTTGGCTCTTAAATTTTTAAAAAGTTCAATATCTTCGTAATACATTAAGCTAGAAAAACCAAATTTGGTATACGTTATGAGTGTACCAAGGGTATCAATTGGTAGCAAATTGAACTCAATTGAGGCATTTCATAGGGTTGATTAAGGGTGATGGTACCCTAAATTTTGACAAATTTTCTTAACCTTTTGTCGTTTTCACAAAAAACTTAAATAACTAAAGACACGTATTTCGTAATGTTACTTAAAATAAGAGAAAATTTAGTAGTCGGCTATGAAATTGTAAGTCAAACTTGACAAATAGGTTATAAAGTTATTTGACGACAAGCTTTTCGTCATCACCTTTCATTCTTAAGTTATGATCGATTTTAACACCAAAAGTACCCAATTTTGACATTTTGGGGATTTTCTCTTTATCACCTGAAAATCATTACATCTAAACTAAATTTGTTTATGGATGATGTCTTCTTAGTTGACAATAAACAACTTATTCCTAAAAAACTTTTCTCCATCACCTTTCATCCTTGAGTTATGATCAATTTTAATACCAAAAGTACTCAATTTTGATATTTCGATGATTTTCTCTTTTTATCATTAGAAAATCATTATAACTAAACCAAATCTGTTTATGAGTAATGTCCTTTTAGTTCATAATAAACAATTTATTTCAAATAAACTTTTCTCCATCACCTTTAATTTTTGAGTTATGATCTATTTTAATACCAAAAGTACTCAATTTTGACATTTTGGTGATTTTTTCTTTATCACTAGAAAATCATTATACCTAAACTAAATTTGTTTATGGATGATGTTTTTTTAGTTCATAATAAACAATTTATTCCTAAAAAACTTTTCTCCATCACCTTTCATCCTTGAGTTATGATCAATTTTAATACCAAAAGTACTCAATTTTGATATTTCGATGATTTTCTCTTTTTATCATTAGAAAATCATTATAACTAAACCAAATCTGTTTATGAGTAATGTCCTTTTAGTTCATAATAAACAATTTATTTCAAATAAACTTTTCTCCATCACCTTTAATTTTTGAGTTATGATCTATTTTAATACCAAAAGTACTCAATTTTGACATTTTGGTGATTTTCTCTTTATCACTAGAAAATCATTATAACTAAACCAAATCTGTTTATGGATGATGTCTTTTTAGTTCATAATAAACAATTTATTTCAAAAAAACTTATCTCCATCACAATTAATTTTTGAGTAATGATCGATTTTGATAACAAAAGTACTCAATTTTGACATTATGGGGATTTTCTCTTTATCACTAGAAAATCATTACATCTAAACAAAATCTGTTTATCAATAATATCTTTTTAGTTCATAATAAACAATTTATTCCTAAAAAACTTTTCGTCAACACCTTTCATTCTTGAGTTATGACCGATTTTAAAACCAAAAGTACTTAATTTTGACATTTTGGGGATTTTCTCTTTATCACTAGAAAATTATTATGCCTAAACTAAATTTGTTTATGGATGATGTCTTTTTAGTTCATATTAAACAATTTATTTCAAAAAAACTTATCTCCATCACAATTAATTTTTGAGTAATGATCGATTTTGATAACAAAAGTACTCAATTTTGACATTTTGGGGATTTTCTCTTTATCACTAGAAAATTATTATGCCTAAACTAAATTTGTTTATGGATGATGTCTTTTTAGCTCATAATAAACAGTTTATTCCTCAAATTACGTACAATTTCACAGCCGACTACTGAATTTTCGATGATTTTAAGTAGCATTAACAAGATACGCGTCTTTAGTTTTTTGAGTTTTTTATGAAAACGACAATGTTTTTTAAAAAATAGTAAGAGTAAAAAAAGTTTTAGAATTAAATTCCACATGAAATGAGGTAATAATGTATTAAATCCACAAAAAGGTTAAAAAAATCTGCCAAAATTTAGGGAACCATCACCCTTAATCAACCCTTTCAAATGTCTCAATTGGTCTCAACTTGCTACCAATTAATATTACGAAGATATTCAATGTTTTAAAAATTTAAGATCCAACTTTGAAAGCCTATAACTCCTCAGAGGTACAACTTGGTATAGAGATAAGTTGCATTAAATCATCTTAATTTATTGTCCTCTACATGGTTCTTATGTGAATCACCCTGTATTTATATTATATTTGAATTGTTAGTTCTAGTTTTGTACTAACACTGTCTCTACAAGTAACACAAGGCCTAGAACTAGCATCAATCGGGTTTAGCCGTCTTGAAAGACGTGCGGCTAAATCCGAATGTTTCTAGTTCTCGGTCTAGTGTTACTTCTAGTTTTGCAGTAACACTGTCTCTACAACTAACACAAGACCTAGAACTCAAATCATTTAGGTTTAGCCGCCTTGAAAGACGTGCGGCTAAATCCGAAACTTTCTAGTTCTAGGTCTACTGTTAGATTTAGTTTTGATCGCTACTCAGCGTTAGATTGTGGTATATTTTTGTTGAACGAAAAGTAGAACTAACATTAGACCAAGAACCAGAAACATTAGGGCTTAGCTGGTGGAAAAAGAACAAATTATAATGGAATGAATACATCCAAAGGGTAGATAAGACCAGATTGATCAAGATATTGATCTCCAATTCCACTGATTCCATTTTGTGTAAATATCTTGAGTATTATAATGATGGTAGTATTCGTTGGTAAGTCGCAAATGAAATAATTTAATGTTTTCAATGAAACGTTCGGAGATTTTACGATTAGAGTTTTAATGAAATTGGAAATAATATAAAATTTATGGTTGTTATAATGGTTTTTAATAGCTTCTTTAAAGTGAAGGTCTTCTCATTCCATCGATTTGGATGTAATATTTTTACGGAGAACTTCAAGTTAACCTCATCCACGATTTATGTTACCAAACATACTTGTAAACTCGTTGTTTATTGATTAGTTTAAAAAAATTATCTATAACTACCGGTTTGTCTACCTATAACGGGTTCAGTTTGATTTATAGTAAAGTTTGTGATCGTAATTTCAGTTTAATCGAAAAATAAACGAGGTTATTATTATTAACTTGTATCTTGTTTATCGATGAATGGGTGTAATTTGTGTTTATCTAGGTATTTAAAATCTTGTAATTTCAAGTTAGCTCAAGTAGAAATACCATTGCAGATAAAAAATCGAATAAACAGTTCCCTACCTTCAGTTTGAAAGATATCTCCTTGATTTTGCCTGGTTATTGAAGATATGCTAGACTGATATTCCGTCAGCTCGGAATTTATTGGATAAAGAGCTTCGAGAAGGACAACTAGAAGGATGCAGCGCATGTCCATTTGTCCATTCTAATACCTGAAATCAACAGAAAAATGGCATTAATATTTTTAATCGCGTCTGCGTGTGTTAAAGTGAAAGAAGATTGAAGACCGAACTATATGCTATAATTAAAATCTAAACAATTTATTTTTCGACATTAAATACGAGGAACGTCTGTGGAACCCATTAATTAAAACACTTGATGGGCGGTTTTGTGCCTTGTAATATCTATGAAAACATGTATTTATTTAATAATAAATTATTACAAACCAGGAAACATTTACTGTTACAATTTATTTGCTTTGACGAAGAATATTATAATTAAAAACAAGTTATGACTAATTTCGTTCTATTCAAAACGTGATCATTTATTTTTATTCAAAAACAATTATTTACGTTCGTTCTATTCAAATTACGTTTAAGCTCGTAAATTCATTCTTATTATGATCGTTTATTACAAATAGCTTGAGCTACTCTTAAATGGAATATTAAATGAAGCCGTTAAACTGTGTAATTAAACAGACGGCAACGTTTGTTTATTTACGGTCAAGCGTCACGCTTAGTTGTAATTATTCGAAACGTTTTCAACCGCATAAATCAGCTTAAAGTTACGTTTTTCAGTGCGGTTGTAATTTTGTACTTCCATTCAAAACGACTTCTTTTATACGTTTAAAACGAAATTATTAGTCCGATTTATTTAAGTTTTTTTTTTCAATAAATTGCTTGATTCGAAAAATACGGTACATTTTAAGTGGTAGTCAAACTGGTGTAACCACAACTTTTTTTTCTTAAACTCGAATCTCTTTTCGATTCGAAAAGTTCTGATGTGAGCAATTACGTCAAGTTTAAGAGAAAAAGGAGGTTGAAATGCGTCGATTTTTTTCTTTATTCATCACGAATCGAAGAAATTTTAAAAGATTGCGTGCTCAGGAAGCATAATACATCAAGTTCCAAATGGTTCTAAAACGGTACCAAACCGTTTATTTTGACACATTGCTCACATTAAAGATCATAATCTGAATAACGATACCGCTCGTATTCCTTTGATCAAATACGGTTAAAGGTTTGAGTACTTAAGCGCGGTTGATTGTGATATATATGCGAAGTATTTGCCCATAAATATCACAGAATGGTAATCATATATGTCCTAAGTGGAGTTAAGTATGCTAGTTTATATCTGAATGTGGTTACGCTTAACTCGATATGCTTTCAGTTACATCCAAATGAGATTATAAAATTAAAAAACTTTTCTTTGGCGATGAAATTTTATGGCGAAAATCGGCTGTTGATATCTCTATTAATTTTTGAGACATCAATATTTTAAACAAACCTTGAACTTCAAATACTTTTTTGATTGTATCTGTAAACTTTAGCCCTAACAGCTACATTTTTTTCCTTTCTCATTTGCTATCACATTTTGAACAATAGCCAGATTTTTATCAACAGGAATTTCCTCGATGTAATTTCCGAATTTTCATTATTGTAACTAAGCCGAGGTCGCTTGCGACCGAGGGGCTACATCGATCGAAAGAACTTTACTTAACACCATTGTAACGAACTCAATTTTCGTTATTACTGTACATTTACTACATGTTTTACTATAACAAATGCACTTATACGGTAAATTTCACTTAAGATGAACTATACAAAAATATATTTCCATAGAACCAGGGCGTACCTACTTACTTTATCTCACTAAAAATTAAAAATGCAACATGTTACAGTAAAACCTAGATAATATTCATTCACATATTTTCATTCAGCTTGGTTACAGATGCTGAGGTCCGGGATGCTTTAACTTACTCCAAGTCCACTAGTGTCGGAGTAGATGGTATTGGACTCAGATTCCTTTTACCCATTCTGGATATAGTTATTACTCCCCTAACTCATATTTTCACCTGTTCTTTTGAAGAGTCTATATTTCCGTCAATCTGGCGAATCGCCCATGTTATTCCTATCCCAAAAATTAAATCTCCGTCCCATGCTTCTATCTATGTTGTCAAAAGCATTGAACGTTTAGCTTATTTACAGATTCAGAAATATCTTGAGGAGTTTAATCTGATTAACAAGTTCCAACCTGGTTTTCGTGAAGGGTATGGTACTACTACAGCACTGATTAAGATCACTGATGATATTAGATCTGCTTGTAATAAGCGTAGTGTTACTTGATTTTAGTAAGGCCTTTGATTGTGGACCATGCCCATCTGTTAACTAGGCTTTCTGCTATTGGTTTTACCTCTTCTTGTGTATCTTGGTTCCAGACTCTCTTCTCCTGTTGACATCAAATGTTGAGTTCTCCAGGGCAGTGTGCTGAGTCCTTCGCTCTTCTCAATTTTCCTAAATAAAGGGTTTTCCAATAAGAGGTGTTATTTTGAATAGCCCGTTATTTCGGTAGATGTCACTTTTGAAGCTGTCATTTTTTGACATTTGACAAGTAGAAAGTACGCCATTAATAAAAATGGAACGATACACGCATCAACAACGCATTGAAATTATTAAAATTCACTATAAAAATGGTGAAATTTTGGCAGAGACGGTTCGTAAAACTCGAACATTTTTGGGTCGTCGTGATACACGGACCGCAATACAGAAATTGGTGGAAAAATTCGAGCTGTTGGGACAAGTTAGTGATGTGAAGAATAAGACCCGTGCACGTCGCTCAAGAACAGCCGAGAATATTGCTGCTGTAGCCGAAAATGTTGAAGAAAACTCAGGTTTGTCCATTCCTCGTCGTTCTTTGGAATTAGGCATTCCACAAACGTCATTACACCGTATTTTGCATAAAGATTTGGGTCTTAAGGCTTATAAACTTCAGTTAACACAAGAACTCAAGCCGTCCGATCANTGCAAAAAGCCGTTTTGAAAAATCACTTTTAGTTCTTGAGAAATAAATTTTTGAAATAAACAATTTTTTCGAATTTTGCAATTTCCGCCGATTAAATTTTAATAATTCGTATAAAATCGATTTTTTGGAATACGAGTATAAAAATTTCCCAAAATGTTAATAAAAGGGGCCCATTCCAATGAACCAACCCGTTTTGAAAAATAATTTTTAGTTTTTGAGAAAACAATATTTCAAGTTCCGATAAAATTTTAGCTTTTGCAATTTTAATCGATAATTTTCAAAATTCGCTATAAAATTCATTTCTCGAAAGATACTTGTGGAAATATTACCAATTATTAATTACAGTATCCTCTTTTTAATGCAAAAAGCCGTTTTGAAAAATCACTTTTTGTTCTTAAGAAATAAATTTTTTAAATAAGCGACAATTTTTTCAAATTTTGCAATTTCCGCCGATTAAATTTTAATAATTCGTATAAAATCGATTTTTTGGAATATGAGTATGAAAATTTCCCAAAATGTTAATAAAAGTGTCCTCTTTCCAATGAACCAACCCGTTTTGCAAAATAAGTATTAGTTTTTGAGAAAACAATATTTGAAGTTTTGATGAAATTTTCGATGTTGTAATTTTAATCGATAATTTTCAAAATTCGCTATAAAATTCATTTCTCGAAGAATACTTGTGGAAATATCACCAATTATTAATTAAAGTATTCTCTTTTTAATGCAAAAAGCCGTTTTGAAAAATCACTTTTAGGTCCTGCGAAAAAAATGTTTGAAATAAGCGACAAATTTTTCGAAATTTGCAATTTCCGCCGATTAAATTTTAATAACTCGTATAAAATCGATTTTTTGGAATATGAGTATGAAAATTTCCCAAAATGTTAATAAAAGTGTCCTCTTTAAAATGAACCAACCCGTTTTGAAAAATAATTTTTAGTTTTTGAGAAAACAATATTTCAAGTTTCGATAAAATTTTAGCTGTTGCAATTTTAATCGATAATTTTCAAAATTCGCTATAAAATTCATTTCTCGAAGGATACTTGTGGAAATATTACCAATTATTAATTAAAGTATTCTATTTTTAAGCTTTGTTTGGTATCTTGCACTAACGTACACCAGTGCACACTTTTTCTTAAAATAGTGTTTGGTAGACTGGTGCAAACAAGTGTAGATAGTGCCGCCGCGTTTGGTAAGCGATTGAGTTTTAAAAGTGCAGCCACTTTTCACACCGACTCGCCGGCAAGTGTAGGAAGTGTAGTGTAAGTCGACATAACCTTTAAGACGTATTAAACTAAGATTAGAACTAAAACTAGAACTAACACTAGAAACTTTCGGGTTTTGCCGTGCGTCTTTTAATAAAAGGTTTGAACCAGTTTCTGAAGAAGGTTGCAACATGGCATCCGAAACGTCAAACCTTTTATTAAAAGTCGCACGGCAAAACCCGAAAGTTTCTAGTGTTAGTTCTAGTTTTAGTTCTAATCTTAGTTTAATTCACACCGGCCGTGAAAGCCTTCGTACTTATACTTTAAGACGTATTTAGTGTTTTGAAAGTGTCAAAGTTAGATTTATTTAAACACAAATAAAATATTGTAAGCTAGTAAAAACAATAAGTAACAGTTTGATTTGTAGAAAGTGTTCTATTCAATTAAAATTAAAAACCCAATAGGAAGTTCTCCGTTTAAATATAATGGCTAATATTGAAAGACAGTTAAATGTAAAAATAATTTATGATGAAGGGGGAAAATATGTAAAAAGTGATGGCGGTAGCCAAGTATTGGCACAAAACATAGAGAGTAAGTAAGATTTTTTAAACTGTACATCAGAATATTTGGGAACTACATCCTCAAAGTATTTATCGATGCAAGTTCTTTTATCTTTTTTAGTTAAAAGTAAGAATACATTTTCTTCATCATCGCTGTCCAATTCTTCAAAAATCATATCATTGTCTTCACTTTCGGTGTCACTCTAATAGGGTCACTACAGGCAACATTTCCTTTTTTGATTTATTCATCTTGATTCTTTGATCAATAATAAATTATTCAACTTCCTACAGAAATAATAAATATTACATAACCTATAACTGTCATAACAATCCGTTTTACCAAACACCTAAAATTGTTACACTTATGCACTTTGAAAATGTGTTGAAAACTGAGAGTTGTCAACTGCACTACACTTGCTACACTAGGAG